GCAATCGAATTTACAATGCCAAATACAACAATGCAGAATGACAAACATATCACTACATAATGACAAACTTGTTCCTGTATAATGTCAAAAACAAAAAAAAAATTCAGTTCAATTATTGTAAAATCAAAATTTTATAAGAAGGAATAGAAATCAAGGTGCCCAGATTGTATCTCTATCTTTTACTAATGTACTTCCTAACATTTAAAAGAAGAATTGGAAGCTCTGATTCATTCTCAATATGTGAAAAAGACCAATTAGAGAGATTAAGATGGACAGACGAATCATGCGGCACGACTGGGACACCTGTTAGAATGTGTAGGAGAGAGAAAAAGGAGCATGATAGCGTTTGATCCGAAAGGGGTGAAAGCCCGGTTTAATAGAGATTAGAATAATTACTCCTATTTAGGGTAGTTTAAGTTTGAGATCCTATTTTGAGATATGACATATCTTTTACTCCTATTTAGAGGGTTTTCTTAAGAGAGAATCTATTATGCATTTAACTCTCATACATAATCTATTCCCAAATTCGCCAACAAGTCATGCATTTTAATAAACTTTAACTCCTAATGATGAGCATTTTTCACAGATTTTCATCAACTTCTCAAACTAATGAAGTTTTTTCCATTAACATAAATGAGCGCAACATATTTTCAATAAATGAATATTTTTTTAGATTAACCAACCTTAACTTTATGAAATTGACAAGCAAGCTCACGAAGACACAACAATCGCACAATAACGAATTCTAAGAAAAATAGATCATTTTATGGGACTAAGAAGTCCATAAGCATTAAAATCAACAAACACAAATTACAACAAAGAATCACGTATGAATTCATAGTTGATTAAACTACCTTATGAAGCTAAAATAGCTTCAACAAAAACCAAATTCGACATACCAACCTACTTATGAAATCAAATTATGTAATTTAACCAATTCACCAACAACCTGCTCATTAGTTGAAATAGACTAATATATATGAATCAATTCTAATTCATAAAGGATTTAATATAAATATTTAAAAAAACACAATTGTCATGAAATGTCATTATTTTATTGATCACATGACAATTGTTTAATTTTTTAATTTGAAAACTCTTTATTATTATTGCATTGAATTACGATATATTTTATATAAAACTCTTCATTTTCTAATTATGACTTCTATACAAATATATATTTCATCATTTTAAAATATATTTTTTAAATTTAATAATTATTTAATATCTTTTTTCAAAGGTTATGCAGAACTTTATTATATTTTTTAAACGACAAAATTTTATATAAATTTTTACACATTCACCATTTTTCCCCTTTATTAAATTTCATAAATATAGATTTATATGAAATATAATACATTTGCATCATTATTAAAACTACAATATCTATTTCAAAAACAATATCCTAAGCAATAGTAAAAAATATTATTTTCATTTCTTATATATTTAATCATTATATATAAAATATATAAGTTTATAAAACCATTCACAATTTATTTCATTTTCTTATACTTCAAAAGAATTATTTAAATTTTGTTTTTCTTTTTAAAATTTTAACATTTATTATCTTATATTTTCATTAATAAAAATAACGTTTATTTTTATTATATTCATTGATCATTATTTTTGTATAAAAATTTCAATTTTTTGATTATTATATCAATATGCATTTTACCAATATTATTTTTTAATCTATGCACTTATTTATTACTCCGTATTTTAAAAGGTAAGTTTTATAATTCTTTTTAAATACAGACCATTTCCCCTTTTATTATTTTTCTAAAATAAAGATTTATATGAATTTTAATAAAGTGCATCATTATTTAAAAAATGACTTTTGTTAAAAATAATTCACATATATATATATTAAAAACTTAAAATAAATAGTATTAGATAGTAATTAAAAATATGATAGAGTCCGTGTGAAGCATTTTTTTAAGGAACAAAACATCCATTAATCAAGAGAGTAAGTGAGAAACAAAACCAATGGGAATAGACTACCACAAACATCCCTGAACATACACGTGTTTAGCCAAAATATGGGCTACCCCATTAAGGAAAAATTATCTCAAATAATCCCACCTTTTCGCGCTCTTTCAAAAATAACCACACTTTTCACTGTCACCGGAAATAATCATACCTTTTCGCATGTGTGCGAGTTTTGGGTCACCGTTAAAAAACTAACGGTCACTTAACGGAAGTTTTTGAAAATGCATGTTTTTTGCAAATAAATGAAAGGTGAATTATTTTAGAAAAATTTACTTTTTACTTTTTTAGTTTTGAATTTAAAATTAATATTTTTAAAAATATAACAATACACTCTTGTTAGAGATTTGTCTAACGATTAACAAATTTTGTTAATTATTTTGGAAAAATATAGTATTGAATTATCAAAAATAATTCAGAGTATCGATCAAGAAAGAAATTACAATAAAAAAATTGTAGTGATTTATAAAATTTATGGGTTCCGTTTCAGAGAAAAAAATATTGTGTCATTTTCACAACTTTTGAATTACTATTTTGGGGAAAAATTTGTATTGAATTATTAAAAAAATCACAAATTGGGTAATTCCATTTTAGAAAGAAAATTTTATTGCAATATAAGATTATTAATAAATATTTCAGAGTAAATTGCAATACATCAGAAAATGTAGTGAGTTATAAAAATAAAAGTTTATTTTAGAGAAAAAATTTGTTGTGTTTTTTTCCTTCCAACAAAACATTTCCACTTTCTATTAAAAAACGACTTTTAACCTTACTTTTTCATACCCTACCTATCACATCATATTTTATCTCTAATAATCTATTCATCACATCTTACTTTTACCTATCACATCAAGGGCAAAATTGGAAGTCAACTACAATTTAATACTTCCTTATTTTTACACAAAGTCAAAAGAGAAACACTTTTTCCAAACGGAGGGAGTAGTTAGTTATGAAGTTAATAAATTAGCTCTATTGTGTAGAATAATGTATTTTCTAATTATTACCATATTATTGGTTATTGAAAAAAAACAATTAGTTTCAATCTAAAAACACTTAAATTTGGTATTTTTTCCAAAAAAATAAAATAAAAATACATTTAAAGAAATTAAAAAACGAAAAAGGGGAAATTTACCTAAAATAATCCCACCTTTCATTTATTTGCGAAAAACGGGCATTTTTCAAAATTTCCGTTAAGTGACCGTTAGTTTTTTAACGGCGACTCAAAACTCGCACATATGCGGAAAGGTGGTATTATTTATGGTGAAAGTGAAAAGTAGGATTATTTTTAAAAGAGCACTAAAAGGTAGGATTATTTGAGATAATTTTTCCATCCATTAATAGAACAATAAAGACATGTAAAAAAGCCAAACAAAGAGAATGACAAACTTCGAGAAAAAAGTGCTCGGTGAATTCAGGTTTTTTGTTTTTTCTGGGGGGTAACAATCACCACCTATAATGAAACCGTTTTAGAATAGCATTTATTTTATTAGTGTTAGCATTTTGGATAAATTTTAAAGGTATAGATTAGATTTGAAAATGATAACGCTAAACACTGCTCTTATACAACCTTTTCAAAATGCTAATGATAACCTCAAACACTATTCACAAAGAGGCTCTATGAGTTCCATCTATAGACGATGTAATAGAAAAATTTAATACTACATAATTCACTTAAATATTTAATTTAATTTCATTTTGTAATATAATGAGCATGAAATTTGTAGATATATATATATATATATTATATAAAAGTATGTGAGTCCGCGCGAAGCACGGGGTAAATCTGGTTTTAAATGTAAAAACAAATGTAAATCATAAAAGCAACATGTAAAATCTCTCTGTCTAATCCCAATGTGCACTATCTCGAAACTAAGAAATCATAATCTCTCTTCTAGATGATGATTTTTTTTAAACCTCTTTTTCATCAAATGTCAAATTGTCCGCGCAAAAGTTAAATCAAAATTTTATTACTCTATAAAACGCCTATCTACCTCTGTATATGTTATAAAACCTGGGTATTTCCCTCTCTAATTATATCCAAATTCAAACTAAGCATTAAGGCTACAGAAAATTACTCGTTTGTCGAAATAACTCTCAGGTTCTTTTATTTTCAAGAAGACAACGGAAGTCCTTACACTTTGTTGTAATGATTGAGAGAAGATATTCCATTCAATATTTCATCCATTAACATTAATAAATGTGTTTTTTCCTTAATGTTTTATATTAATAACTCTTAAGTGGCTTTTTTTATTTCTTTATTTTTCCTTTTTTGTTACTCTTTTTTGAAGTGCTGTTTTAAAGTTTCTTCTATAAAATCGTATGAAAATTCAATAGAAAGTCCTCAAGATTCTTTTTAAATACTTTGCATGGAATATTAAACATATAATTTTTTGAAACTATTTTCTAGAAGAAGGTTTTAAAAAAATATTTATGAAAAAGGAAACAAAGTGAAAAAAAGAGACCTCTGTTATGGATGAAATATTGGATGGAATGTCTTCTCTCAGTCATTACAACAGAATATAAGGACCTCTGTTGTCTTCTTAAAAATAGAGGAACTTAAGAGTTATTTCGACAAAACTCATATCAAGTTATTTTTTGTTAAGGCTATAACGAGGTCAGAGTGTCATACAGGTCCTTTTTGTCGTGAATATTTCAAATATTTCCTTTGTCCTTTTTCTCAAGCATCCCAAAAAACTTAAAAAATTATTCCATATTTTAGTAATGAATATTTTATGGTTTACATTACTTCTCTATCATCTAAACCTAAAAAAAATCTTAGCATGCACTTTATATTTTTGTAAGGCTTTCTTAACTTCATGAAAGTCAATGTAAAGAATATTTATAGAACAGGTGGTGTGTGTTTAGCCAATCACACAAATATTTTTCAAGTAGAATCAATATTTTTAGGGAGAAAAATGAGAAACTTATGTTTATCATGTAGTAACCAAATTAAAATGGCAGAACCTAGAAAATCTCATATCCTAGCAATGAAAAAAAATCAGCTCAAGAATTACCTTGGAAAATTAATGCAACTCTGATACATTTCTCGGTAAGAGAAGCCTATATGATTTGCTGATAAAAGCCTCAATCTGTTATAAAATTAACTGAAAGATTAAAAAGAATAAAAACATGTTTTGCATTTGCCAAACCTTATAATGTTTGCGCAGCTAACACAGAATGGTGCTTTAATCAAAACATATACTCTCTCCGTTCTCAAAAACACTTCCTCTTTCATTTTTTCCACTTCCAACAAAACACTTCCCTTTTCTATTAAAAAACCACTTTTACCCTTACTTTTTCATACCCTACCTATCACATCAAATTTTTTTTCTAATAATCTATCCATCACATCTTACTTTTACCCATCACATCAGGGGCAAAATTAGAAATCAACTATAATTTAACACTTTCTTATTTTTGCGTCAAATCAAAATGGGAAGTCTTTTTGCAAATGGAGGGAGTAGAACATTAAACCGAATGAATAAAGGAAGAACCTTCATGCTTCCCTAAAAGCGTGATGGGTTGTTCGTGGATTCATCCAATGGATTCATCCCAATTTATATTGCATGTTTCAATTTACGATGTTTGACTGAAATTATTTTAGAATGATTTTATTAGAAAAATGATCTAAGAATTTAAAAATAAAAATGACATATTAAAATACAAATTAAAAGACATGCAAAACTAGTAATAACATGACTATTTTATTTTATCAAATGACTAAAGAAAATAGAGAAAAAAATAGATCATGTTTGACCCTGCAAATAGTAAACATGTAATTTAATTTGGGACGGATGAAGTAACATATTAGAGCATGCACAGCGGCGAGGCAAATCCTCGCCTCGCTGCGCCACATCACCTTATTCCGTAACTTGCCTCGCGAGGCTTTAGCCTTCCTCCACTCCAAGCGTGTGAGGCGCGAGGCACTTTCAGGTATTTTTTTATTATTTTTTTATTTTTTATGTGTCGCTGGAGTTCTCGCTGCTGGAGTTCGTCAATGGGCTGCTCGTCGCTGGAGTGCTCGCCGCCGTAGCTGGAGTGCTCGCCGCCGTCGCCGGTGTTTGTTGTTGCTACTGGGGCCGAAGGACAAAGGAAGAAAGGACCGAGTCAGGTCACAAATTAGGGTAAAGTTTTTTGAAATTTCAGATTGATCTCAAATCTTCAATCATACTTCCAATCCGGCCCTTCTACAAGTGTCTAGACTCTAAAATTAATTAATCAACACAAATTAGTCTAAAATCACAAAAATAATTATTATTTTTAATAATTAAAATGCATTAAAAAATTATAAAAATTGATAAAAATAATGACTTGTCATTGTACGAGATGCCACTCCACTCACTTGCTACACGCTAACTGGGTATGCTTTTATTGGATATAATTTAAGGTGCACCGTAAATTAAACTTTTAATTTTAAAAGGTTTGGTGGCGTATTCCTCACGAAAGATTTTGTGGGGATTTAGGTATCAAACTTCTACAAGATTTCTACACTTACGTTATAGATGTTTAAAAAAAATTACCATTTATGAAACCTTACACGAATATTAACATTTTTAACTATTTGAAACAAATATAAAGCTTGACCCTATGAAATTTAGAAAGAGGGTAAAGAGCAAATAAATGCGTGAGAGAGAGAGATTAACCTGTAGAAAACTCTAGCAGAACAAAATGGTGCATTGGGATATTTGCCATTCCATCAACAGAAAATTTCACAATAGTAGTGGTAAAAAGATGCTAAGTAACTTCAGTCTCCCACAACATATTATCTTCTCTTGTCATTCACCACAAAATTGTCAATACAATAAATGCATCCTTTGACAAAGACACCACAGAACAAGTGAACAAAGACTCCTTGTGATGTTCGTTGGCATTGATACATAACCCTGTTTCAGGATTGAAGAAAAGAAAAAAAGAAGATAAAACAGATGAAGTAAAACAAAAACTGTGGAATGATGAAACAGAGAACGCAAAATGGATTCTACACTAAAATTTGAAGAAAAATTTATGATTGTTAAATGTTGATTGGATACTCAAAAGATAAAAGAATAAAAAGAAGCAAAAATGGAGAAGGGAGATAATGGAACATTCATGCATTGATAGGATATGACACAATAGGAGGAATAGTAGGAACAAACCAGAGAAAGTGGTCGGAGTAGTCTTCATCCTTGGCGGATGTCATAAAAATGCGCCCTTGCTTCCATAAATGTTTGTAGACGTGTCAGGCCTCAGTGTCTAACCACAACTGATCTTCCTCGAAATGTGCCAGAGCAAGAGACAATGCAAAGAAAAGGTCAAGAAAAGCATCCATCCACACATCATCATCAACAACATTTATAGCCACCCAATCTCTTGCTATTCTTTGACGTAGCAAGCTTCGGGGCATTGGATTGTTTGCAGTTGAAAAGGAGAGGTAAATAATCCTTATGAAAGACGCAAGTGTGATCGCTAGACGAAAACCTGCGGTTAGAACTACAGCTCTCCATGCATTTTTCATCATCAACTTCGCATGCCTAATGGCAGCAGCCACTATTGCAGAGATAGCATCATCACCATTTTCATTGTCATCATCTTCATCCTCTTGATTCCCCTCTGCCCCATCCACCGCACCACCACCATGTCCACCCTCCTCCCCACCACCACCATGTCCACCCTCCGCCCCATTCCCATATCCACCATGGCCATTATTCTCCTGCAAGGTCATAAATAAACCTTAACATTTCACTAATTCTACTAAATTAATTTTTTTTTATTTAAAAAAAAACTTGCATGTCTCTAATATTTGCTTATTTTTCAGATTTCTTTAATACTGCGGTTTTTTTGTTTCTCCCAATTGGAAAATATACTAAAGTCATATCGAGGGAACATGCCTGACTTAGCCTACTATAGTACCTGAAGTATTCTATCAACCCAGATAAACCTCCCATTGGCATGAATCCCAAGAATCCATCTACGTCTATCATTGGATGAAGATGATGACAATGAAGATGGTGATGATGTTACGATGCCATTAGGCATGCATGGCATGCGAAGTTGATGATGAAAAATGCATGGAGAGCTGTAGTTCGAACCTTCGGTTTTCGTCTAGCCATCACACTTGCGTCTTTTATAAGGATTATGTACCTCTCCTTCCCAACTGCAAACAATTCAATGCCCCGAAGCGCGCTGCGTCAAAGAATAGCAAGAGATTGGGTGGCTATAAATGTTGTTGATGATGATGTGTGGATGGATGCTTTTCTTGACCTTTTCTTTGCATTGTCTCCTACTCCAGCACATTTCGACGAAGATCACTTGTGGTTAAACATTGAGACCCTTGGTGAGGCCACCCTGGCACAAATACAAATATTTAATATTTATGGAAGCAAGGGCGCATTTTTATGACATCCACCAAGAGTGAAGACTACTCCGACCACTTTCTCTGGTTTGTTCCTACTTTTCCTCCTATCAATACTATGTCATATCCTATCAATGCATGCATGTTCCATTATCTCCCTTCTCCATTTTTTTCTTCTTCTTTTTATTCTTTTATCTTTTAAGTATCCAATCAACACTCAACAATCATAAACGTCTCTTCAAACTTTAGTGTAGAATCTATTTTGCGTACTCTATTTCATCATTCCACTGTTTTTGTTTTATCTTCTTTTTTTCTTTTCTTCCATGTCCACCCTCCTCCCCACCACCACCATGTCCACCATCTGCCCCATGTCCCCCCTCGTGCCCACCACCATCATGTCCACCCTCCGCTCCATTACCATGTCCACCATGGCCATTATTCTCCTGCAAGGTCATAAATAAACCTTAATATTTCACTAATTCTACTTAATTAAATGTTTTTTTATTTAAAAAAACTTACATATCTCTAATATTTGCTTATTTTTCGGATTTCTTTAATATTGCAGTTTTTTTTGGTTTCTCCCAATTGGAAAATAAACTAAAGTCATATCGAGGGAACATGCCTGACTTTTATTTAGCCTACTATAGTACCTAAAGTATTCTATCAACCCAGATAAACCTCCCATTGGCATCAATCCCAAGAATCCATCTACGTCCAGCATTGGCTGCCAGCAGGCCCTGTTTCCTATCTCCACGAAGTTCTCTTTTACTAGCATAGGCTCATTTGCCATTTCTAAATTCAAATCTTGAATCGTCATCTTCAAGAAAATTTGAGAGAGGTTAAGAACTACAAGTTGGATTTAACCCAAGAAGAACCATGTGTATTCCCACATTGTTAAACTTAAAACTGTCGAAAAAAATTAAGAAGAATGCTGAAATAAAATAACTTTTACGAGTTCTTTCTGACATACTATGTAAAATAAAATAAAAGATACACAACGCCTTTGTGTTTCATATGACTTATGAGAGCCAGAAATAAATAAAAACTACAGTCGGATCTAAATGCAAGTGCTAAACCATGAATTACAAATTTTAGAAAAAAGCTCCATGTAAGGGAAAGACAAGAAGTGCCTAAATTTTCTTTACCTTTTTTCTACCTTCAAGATGATGCTTTTGTTATCCTTAGCAATTGAACCTAAAATAACAAATTTACAAAAAAAAAATATTAAAACACATTCAAGCAAAGAAAAAAAATAATTAAACAAGATATTCCAGCAGCAATCGTCATTGAGGAAGTGAAGTACATAAAAGCAAACAAGAAGTTCAAAGAAAGGCACCTGTTCCAAGAAGAAACGGCAGCGTATGCAGAAAATGGACGAGAATGTGAGGAAGCACTGTGGGGGGTGAGAAAATGAAGAGTTCCTTCAAAAAATATCAGGGTGAGATAACGCAGAGTTGCAGACTTACCCACAAGACCTCACCCAAACTCAAAGATGTAATAATAAACATAAACCGGCCGGAAAGACCGTCAAGCAGTTTTTGCACACAAATCTATTAGTCTATTAAAGCACACTGATTTTTGGGTTAAATTGGACACCGACGTCTGACCTTCCCCCCTAATTGGAAGTTTTGAGTGAAATGTTGTCGATTCCAATGCTGTTAAAGAAGGCAGACCTCCGGTGCCCATCATCGGAGCTACATTTACATGGTACTTTAGTGACACAGTACTAGAGTAAAGAACAATGGCCCAGTTTGTATGGCTGAATACATTGCACAGATGAATTTCAGGGATGATACAATGAAAGCCATTCATTATTCACTATATATTCCATATGCAATGAAAACAATGCATCATCCCACTTTCATTGTAAGCTTTAGCCACCAAGTATTCCACAATGCCAGGTTATATGAATTAGGACTTTTTACCCATAAATTCAGTGCCTCTCTGTCCCATATACTACATGCAATAAGTCTTTTGATCTTCCTGATCGTAGGCCAGAAATCCTGAAAGTATGGCACCTCTGTGATCCGCTATTGCAGATATTTATCATGGCAATTCTCTATTAGCATTAAATGCGTATGTTTGGCTTTTGTGTTGCCTTTTTACATTCTCAAAACCTTGAGTTCTTAAAAACCTGACAACTCAGTTTGTCAAAACTCATATTCAGGAATCTATTGCTTGAAAAGCTAAGTGCATCAACATAAAGATTGATCTTGAAAGTGACTTGACACTTGAGAGTGATGTCGCTGGAATTCAAAAGGTTTTCTCTATGTTTTTTTATTTAATAAACAATCAATATGAGACTTGCGGCTGAATAGTAAGATGTTTAACTTTTGCCAAATACAAGATTCTGTGGATGAGGAAACTACTCCCATCTCAAGGGAAGATCTTAGAAGAGATCTTTTGGATCATTTTAATGAGGTCAATCAGGAGATTACGGAAAGGTCAAAGCTTTTTAATAGTAGTTGTCTTTGCAATCCCTATATTTTTTGTTAATAAACTAAATCATGCTTTGTGATTTGGGTGAATTTCACCGGGGATTGCTAGAATTTCAGTTCAATGTTGTTCCCGATTATGAATTCAGTCTATGCACACTACAGATTGAACCAAACCATTTTTGTTTTCATACAACTATAGATTATTGTGTGTTTTGCAGGACCCCATTTCGCCTATACAATCACCTTAACATCAAAACAGAGCACCGTGACTCCCATGCAATGTTGAATTTCTTAAACTACCTGTGTTTTGCATTAAAGATTATATGACCATTGATTTGCCATCCTCTTGTTGTTACTGAAATCACCTATCTACATTCTAAGGAATAAGATTATTAGAACTAACTTATCTGTGAGAAATGGGTTTTTAGGTACGGAAAAAGCTTATGTAAGGCCTGTAAATTGTTCTCACACTACACACGATTAAACTCTTTCAAATGGAAAATGCATATTTGAATGTAATTTTCTAATAGTAAAATTTTGAAAATGTCTCTGAACTAAAAGTTGAAAACATGTACGAAGTATAATAAAACATGGGATTTGGCTGGTAACTTATTCTATAATATATTTTTGGGCTAAAGATTGAAAACACGTATGAAAAGTAATAGATTTGGTCAGGGAAAAAATAATACTTTTCATCTGTGCAAAAAATCAATCTAATTCGCAAACTCATTGTCTACACACATGCAAGGTCTATATGAAGTTTCTATTTGCTATTTAACCTCAGGTACTACATGAATGTGCTTTATGAAACCTTACACGAAATACACCCAAAAAAAAAGTCTAGGCTAAAATTTAAACTCATTGATAGACACAGAAGAAATTTTTTTGTTGTGAGAACTGTACAGGATTATTCTTGTTCGTTAATATAAATAGAGAACTAACCAACACAACTTTTACAAACCAACACAAGTATAATAAACTACGAGAGCCTATCTCTTAGACGCTACTTACAACTCCTTTTAGAAACTAAAAGAAACTACCTAACGGTTTTTTACTATTAGATAATTAAATATGAAAGACACAACGACGATGGAATGCATGAAATTTCCCTTAGTATTGTGGTGTAGCCCAAGGTCCAATTCACCCAAACTGTGGGTTGTAAGTTCTAACAGAGAGTAGAAGAGAGTAAAAAAAAAGAAGTAAACGGGGAGTAAATGATACACAATCATATGTATAATTCCTTTCATACAGAACATCCCTCCTTCGTTTACCGGAATGTTCTTTTATTACTGTGTATATTCTCTCCCTCTCACTCTGTTTCAAGATACCTCTCTCTGGGCAAGACCCTTCTTCTCCTATAGGAGTCGTTTGTAACCAATTTAATTGGGTTGGTTGTCTTGAATTGGGTTGACTTTCCTAACCCAATTCTTTCCTTGGGCTACTACTCGGACCCGGCCCATTAAATATTATCATTTGGGCTGGGCCTCTTTTACCTGATCAGGTCGGGTTGAATTTGTTATTTTGGGCAGATGGGCCAGGTTTCATCAAACCGACTCCATACTAGCCAACCCAAACATTGACCCATTACCCATTCAGTTATACGTGAACAAACCCGATTAAATCTAACGCCCATTGCAAGCAAACAAAAGAAAATGAACTCAAAAATTTAAACATTTAGTATGCTAACATCCCTTTAAAAACTGAATATTGAATTAGTCTGTTTTTTTCAATAAAAGTTGGAAAAAAAAGAAGAAGAAAATAACCTTCATTAACACAAGATAAGAGGTCTCTTTGTTATATCCTAGCACAAAATGTCTATATGAGATGTCCTTTAACTATATGGAATAATTCTGATGCACTTCACAATCTCTAGTTTAATAATTTCTTAAATAAATGAAATAAATGTGCTACAAATGCCCATTTTTATCCCATCCCCATTAGCAACACAGCCAGCAAATTTAATCCAAACGTGTGGAAACATGAAGAAGACTCTATAGCCTATTGCTTCAAAGCAAGCTAGGAAGAAAGATTTCATCGGAATAAAGGTGAGAAACGATCACATAGTTCTATGAACTTTACGGATTGCATGAAATTTCATTTATTAGCATCTGTTCAAAAATAGATTGTGCAAAACTCCTAATATAAGTTCTCATCTTCTATTACTTCTCAAAAACATCGACATAGAGAAAAGACAAAATACAGATGAATTGAATTGCAGAAAATTATAGTGTGTAGATAAATGTAATAAGATAAATTACATTAAATTAGTTATTCATTACATAACAAATGGGTGGATGCTTCGTGTTTCGGGATAAATCAAATAAATCTCACCTGGAGAATCGCTGAAAATCCGGAATAGGGATCTCGATCCTCACTCCTCGCCGGAGTCGTCTCCTCAGCACGGCAGTTCCACGCTCCTCCCCCGCGATTCTCTCCGTCTCACCTGCTCTCTCCGTTTGCCAGTGGCAGCTTTTTGAAGTTAAAATTTTATCCAAACTTTTGTACCCTATTTTCTACACCCCGCACCAACACTTTTTTCTGCTTAAACAATCAAAATGTTTATGTATAACTACGGTGTACAAATGAGGTACAGTTTTTGGTGTAAGTGTAGCATGACCCTTAAAACAAATGGGCTGCATTGTTTTGAATAACCAATGGGCCCTGGACATTTTACAAATGTATTGGATAGTTGGGTAGGTCTCGTGAAAATATGATCATCTATATTTAGTTTGTCGAGTTTGGACTTACATGAAAAATAATTACGAGCGAAATAGATATTACAGCTCAATTATTAAATAATTTTTTTATAATATAATAATAATAATGTCTATTAAGAAGGGTAGTTTTCTTCTTTCTACTAAATCCTAAAAGAATACGGAGTACTACTTTGTATTATGTGATTCACTATAATATTTTTTTTTGTTCTTTTGTAGGGTGTTTCTCATGCTTGGGGATGATTAATGGCCATAGGTTAGATTTTACACTCTCGTTGACATCAATTAATGAAATAAATTAATGATAGAACATACAAACAAACGCTGCTCTCAACATCAAAATGATAAACATTTAATCTACGGTCAAATTGTCATAAAAGCTAAACACATTTTAGCATACCAATCTCTCTTTTGACTCTATTGGTTTGGGAAGAAATTTCCAACTCTTTGAGAAAAGAAGCAAAAACATGGTTTATCATACAATACAGGATTTGTGATATATAAAGCACAATTTTGAGTACTTGCATAAATGACCTTGAGTACTTGCATAAATGACCTCTTATAACAAGCAATTTTTCATATTTAATTCCCAATTCTAAAATACTATTAGTTGACTAAGGCATCTTACAAGGTTAGTTGGGCATACTTGAATGTTGATTTATTTAAAATGGGTTTTTCAATTCTAACATAGTACCAAACCTCCTCATGGCAAATCCCTAAGAAACAAAAATCTATTTTCTTATTAATGGGAGTACTCATGGATTCTTTAAAATGGAGAGGGCGTTAAACAAGGAGATCCTCTTTCACTTCTTTTCTTTATTTTGGGGAGTGAAGGGTTTAGTCGTTTAGAAATCATCCTAAATAGGACTAAAACATAGAGAAAAGTACCAAAATAGAACTTTCATGTTTTTTTTCCCGGAATAGGACTTTGCATTGTGGTAATGTGACTTTGCATTGTGGTAATGTGGCAGTGTACATGTACATGGAAGTCCTATTTTGGTATATCTTCAATGTTTTAGTCCTACTTTGGTCTTTCTCCCTTAGTCGTTCTATCAAGCATGCCTTCTTCAATAATTTCTTGCTACCTTATAACTGTGGTAGGAGTACTCTAGTTAGTCACCTTGGATACGTGGATGATTTGGTGATTTTTTTAAATGCTCATTATCGAAATCTGTTGCGGTTTATGTCTATTTTGAATGTTTACCTTAAAGCATCAGGTCAAAAGTCAATTTGCAAAAATAAAAGAGTCTACATTCACAGGAAAATGAGAAGAGGCATGGCGGATGTGATAGAAAGAGCCCTTGGTATGAAATATGACCGTCCCCCCTTCACTTATTTGGGTGCAACTATTTGGAAGGGTAAGCTAGAAAGAGCACAGTGTGTCAACATAATTCAACACTTTGAAAGACTTATTGATTCTTGGTACTCTAAGGTACTCAATCAACAAGGGAGGCTTATTTTAATCAAACATGTTCTTTCTTTCATCCCTCTTTATCACATGGCAGCACATACTCTCCCAAAATTAGTTATTCATCTTCTTTATAATAAAATGGCAAGATTTCTTTTGGTGCTAAAGAGGGAGATAAAAAAACATCATTGGGTATCTTGGGAGAGAATATGTATGCCTAAAGAAGAGGGAGGCCTTGGGATTAAAAAACCTTAATCATATTCATAATGCCTCTTCTCTCAAGCTTTGATGGAAGGATCATATCAGAATATAAGTAGCTTGTGGGTGGACTTCATGGAGAGTAAATATAAAAGGGATAATAACCCCTTTAAAGAAAGGTTGTATGACTCTTGGATTTGGAAGCGCATTTGTCGTATTAATGATATTGATACAGATTTGGATAATTGTGAATACACAGAGGAAAAGGGAGGCAGATTCCGTTCAAGAAAGGCTACGGTCTCCTTAGAGATAATGGCAGCAGATTGGCGTCCTCCAGTTTTGTCTGGAGTAACCTTAACACTCCCAAGATTCAAATGTTTATGTGGAAGGGCATAAATAGGTCCCTTAACTTTCCAGAAAACTTGCGGGTTTTAGGGTATAATCTATCGTCAGAATGCCCACTTTGCAATATGAGCAACCCATCGCTTAACCATTGTCTTCTTGAATGTGTTTTAACTCAATAGGTGTGGCGTCACTTTGCAATCCAGGTTGGTGGGCCGCGACTGAGGCAAGGGATAACATAGAGGCAACACTTGATGGAGTGGTGTGATTAAAAGCCCGTAGAAAAAACTTTAAAGGAGCTATTGCTTTTGCACTACCTAGCATTATATCTTGGGAAATGTGGAAGGCTTATAATGCCGTTACATATGAAGGTATACATATAAGGGCGGCTAATGTTATCTTTAATGTCCATATATTGACACATATCTGGTGTCGAGCACATAAAGGATGAGCTTGGATGATTTATGACAAAGCCTTTGATGAATGGGGATTCCGGTACTTTTGGAATAAAGGAGTTCTTGGATGATGTATTTCGATTTTTTGTATTCTCTTTTATTTTTGTTCTCTTTTGTGATGGATAAAGGTTTTCTTTATCCCTCGTGAAATCATTGTACTTTTCTACTCTTATTTTCTAAAAAAGATAATTAGGTTCCCCAAACTAACCGCATGGTGTTTTGCTTTGGTATATCTAAAATAGACGAAACATATCGAATGTCACTTTGTTCGTGAGAAAATCTAGAATGGATTGATTTCTACTATATTTGTGAGGATATGAGATCAATTAGCAGATCTCTTTACTAAAAAGCTAAATGGCACTCAGGTTATGTATTTCTGTAACAAGTTGGGAATGATAAATATATATGCTCCAACTTGTATCTATAAAGCAATTCGCTCGTGATAATAATTGCTCTGTTGTTAGACTATAATACTAATATTATTTATGGTAGTACTGGTTATGGTAGTGTTTCATTATTAGTCAGCTTCCTAATCCTATTTGCAGTAGATGTTGTATTTAGTTAGTCTCTATTCTCTATTTCTAGTTGTGATAGGATTCTCTTCTATATATACTCTATCATGTACTTCACAATTCAAGGAGCAATATTATTATTCCAATATTTTGACATGGTATTAGAGCCACCGCTCTTGGTGACCTAAAAGAGTTCTTTGCTCCCACCGCCGCCGCCGGTAATTCCGGCGACGGCGGCTCCACCCTATTCACCTCTATTTTCTTTTCCTTCTTTTATCCTCAAATCAACGTCTCCATTCAAACGAAAAAAAGGAAAACAACCTTGTTGAAATCATACAAAAAAACCATCAAAGGCAGAACTTCTCTCTTGTCATCTCCATGGTTCTTCAAAAAAAAAAACTCAACTCCTCACAAACTCTCTCAACTAATCCTATCTTCTTAAAAAAAGGAAAAAAATGATAGTTGCTCTACAATTCACCATATCAAAATCTCAAACCCCAAATCTTTTTTCCTTCACCAATTCTTAATCCACTTTTTTTTCCTCTCAAATCACTCATTCTAATCATCAATCTTTCTTCTCTTTTTCTTCTGTTACCCGAAATATTCCAAAAAAAAAACAACACAAAAGCAAAGCCAAGAGAGGAAGTAGTGAAAGAGGAAAGAATACCTCTACAACCCTTCAAGAAAGAAATAAGGCATTGCCCGGATCCAAGAAAAAAGACAAAAGAATGTCAAGGATCTTCAGTCAAACAGGCACCTCCAGTAGCCTTCTCTATTCTTCTTCGACGTCAGCAACTACAAGCGCACGTCAACCTTCTCTCTTCTTCTTCGACGTCAGCAGCTACCAGCGCACGTCAATTTCTTGCTTCTCCAACAACGTGAGAACCCACCGGCGCACGTCAGACTTCTCTCTTCTCAAAGTTTCCAGTTCCCAGCTACTGTCCAAGCTTCCTCTTGCTTCAGCCAAAGTTCAGCTTGAGGGGGGATGTTAGACAATAATACTAATATTATTTGTGGTAGTATTGGTTATGGTAGTGTTTCATTATTAGTCAGCTTCCTAATCCTATTTGTAGTAGATGTTGTATTTAGTTAGTCTCTATTCTCTATTCCTAGTTGTGATAAGATTCTCTTCTATATATACTCTATCATGTACTTCATAATTCAAGGAGCAATATTATTATTCCAATATTTTGACATCTGTTGAATTTGATTCTCATAGGTTTTTTGTGAAGGATCTTCGGACGGGAGCTGTGATGCATCGATGTATTAATGAAGGTCCACTTTACCCCTTATGTTCTCCTCCCCCAGCCATTCAAACCAATGTTGTTGCTGGTGATTTTAAAACTTGGCACCACCAACTCAAGCGCTCTAGTCATGTCATTCCCTTTACTTAATAAATATAATATGAACAATTTATGTAATGCATGCCAACAGAGGAAACATGTTCATCTCTCCTTTTACCAGTCTAGTCGTGTTTTATGTTTTCATTTCAGTTATTACATACTGGGCAGTTCCTCGTTCCCAGTGTCACTTGTTTTTAAATATTACATGTTACTTCTAGATGACTATTCTCACTATCATTGGGTTTTTCATTTACGTAATAAATCTAATTCTTTCGCTCACCTCACCTCTCTTTTTTTAATGTTAAAAATTATTTTAAAACAACAATTAAATATGTCTAATGTGATGACACTGAATACTGGAATTCTCCCCTTAAATCTCTCTTTGTATCATATTCCATTAACTTAATATCATATTCCATTTTTTTCCTGTCCCCACACAAGCGAACAAAACAACTGGGCTGAGCGCCCCATTTGTAGCATTAAAAATACAATTTGGACTTTCCTCTTCCAAGCCCACCTCTCACTGACGTTTTGGGTTGAGGCCCTTTATATTATTGTACATGTATTC